ACCCAGGGAGCAGATAGAAGGAGGTCCTGTGAAGAGCGAAGGGTACGGGTAGGGAGGTACCTGGAATGCAGGTCGGTGAGGTAGTTACGGCAGTGTTGTGAAAATAGGCCTATTAGGTCAGGGGTGAGCAATTTAAATTTAATGCGTTGGGCATATGGGGAGCCAGCGGAGGGAGAGGCAGAGGGGGGTGCCAGAGTGGAGCGGCTGTGAGGTGGATGAGTCTGGCCGCTGAGTTCAGGATGGTCTGAAGCGGGGAGAGCCTGCACTGGGGTAGGCCCGTGGAGAGGGAGTTGCAGTAGTCCAGTCGGGAATAATCAGGGAGTGTAAACTAGTAGTTTAGTGTGTCTGGGGTAAGGAAAGGAGCGTAATCTTGGCGATATTGCGAAGGTAAGTGGAGTCCCCGGCATGTGTATGTGAGAGATTGATATGATGTTGAAACGACAGGTTTGAGTCCCAGAATTGACCCACCGGGCCGCAAAAAAAAGGACTTTGCTTTGCTGGCGGGATTGCTGGATGGTGTTGTTGGTAGTGATGGAAAGGATGGGGGGGGTGGTGCGGCTGGGGGGAAGATGAGAAGCTTCAGGATTTGGAGAGGTTTTGGAGTTTTGAGAAAATGAGCGACATTCCAGTCAGAGATGTCGTTTAGGAGGTGAGTGATGCCGGGCGAAATGTGGTTTTTGGTGAGTGGGTGGAGAGGTAGATTTGGCGTAAATCATCAGCCGTAGAGGTGGTAATTGAAGCCGTGGAGTGGTCAGAAGTTTTGCCCAAGGGCAGGAGGTTAGATGGAGAAAGAGAAGGTCCAAGGACAGAGCCCTGGGGGACCCCAACAAGAGGGGGAGTGAGAGGAGGTGGCACCATTTGTTGAAACGCTGACGGAGCGTTGGATAGATAGGACGAGAACCCGGAGAAGCGTGTGTCTCATATGCCAAGGAGAGTAGTTTATTAAAGGAGGAGGAGGGAGTGTCGACTGGGTCAAAGCCGCGTGAGCGAGGTCTAGGAGGCAGGAGGACAGAGTAACGCCTTGCAGTTGGCGATAGTAATATCGTTGGTGATTTCTCGAGGAGGTCAGAGTTTCGGAGGTCAGAGAAGGGGACGGAAGCCGGACTGTAAGTTGGGATCGAAGGAGGTGCTGTCAGTCAGGTGAGGGCGCTAGGGCGATCGGAATACCAAAGCGCTCAAGGAGCCTTGGAAGAGATTGTCAGCAGGAACATTGGTCTGAGGTTGTTTAGAGTGTCAGAGGGGTCCAGGAGGCTTTTTGATTATGGGGGTGATGTTGGCGCATGTTATTAGGGGGGAGGGGAAGACACCAGTAGAGAGAGAGATTAAAGATGTGGGTTAGGGAGCGGAGTGAGGGAAGAGGGGGAGAACCGTAGGAGTTGAGAAGGGGATAGGGTCCAGGGGGCAGGTAGTGAGGCGGGCTTCTGAGAAAAAAGACTCTGCTGACTTCCTCAGTGGTAGTAGGCTGGATGAGGATGTGCAGTGATGGGGGGGTTACGGTAGGCCAGGGCCTTGGTGTGGTGGGGTGCAGTGCCGTCAATGCCGAGGTTCAGAGGAGGGGAGAGATGAGGGGGTGATGGAAGGGGGGGGGCTAGATGGGTGGATGTAGATTGCAAGTTTGAAGCACTAAAAAAGGGTATTTTTACTCGGCACCCATTCTGGGTCAATCCCGACGCCTCCCTGCCCTACATCTTAGAAGTAGATGCGTCAGTAACGCGGTTTGGCTCCATCCTTTCCCCAGCGGAAGGGCGCCAAGGAATTACTTCACCAGTAGCATTCTTCTCCGGGAAACTTACCCCTGCGGAGAGGAACTACGACCATTGGGGATCGCGAAACGTACTGGCTATCAATAACCGCATTATAGAAGAATGGAGGTACTGCTGGGAGGTGCTCTCCCAATCCCATCCTGATATTCACTGACCACAAGAAACCTGGAATATCTGAGGACTGCGGCCAAACATCTGCGAAACATCCCAACGACAAAAGGGCAAGTTGGGCATTGTTTTTCTCGAGTGCTCCAGTTCCACATCACATACAGGCCCGGCTCGAAAAACACGAAGCCTGAACGCGTTGTCGCGCATGTACGAGGACACCAAGGAGATCCCAGTACCTGACACTATTCTTCCTGCAGGGAAATTTCTTGGCCCTCCAGACGAACCTTCGCTCCGAGATCCTGAGAGCGTCCACAGCGATGTCTACCTCCGATGGGGCGCCCCTCCAGAACAAGGAGGGACTCCTATGGAGGGAGGACCGGATTGTGGTGCCGGAGGATGCCCGAACCTTAGTCTTGGGACATTGCCATGACCATCCAATGGCAGGACATTTTGGCCGGTCAAGACACTGGAACTTCTCCGACGTTCCTTCTGGTGGCCGGACATGGCCAGGATTGTAAGAACTACGTGGGCTCCTGTGCCATCTGCCAGCGGAACAAGCCTTCAAGAAATAAGGCGTGGGGCCTGCTACGTCCATTGCCCATCCCTGAACGGCCCTGGCAGAAAAATCTCTATGGTCTTCATAGTCGAGCTTCCACCTTCACTGGACCACACAGCAATTCTCGTGGTCGTGGACCGCTTATCCAAGATGGCCCATTTCATTCCTTTACGGAAGACTCCATCAGCAGCCGAGACGGCGCAAGTCTTTATTCGAGAGATCGTTAGACTGCATGGGGTTCCCGAAGACATCGTCTCGGACCGAGGGGTGCAGTTTACCTCGCGGTTTTGGAGGGCGTTGTGCAAAGCCCTGGATATCAAGCTGTCCCTTTCCTCGGCATTTCACCCTCAGACCAATGGTCAGACCGAAAGGACCAATCAGACCCTGGAGCAATACCTGCGATGCTACACATCATTCTCTCAGGACGACTGGGTGCCACTTCTCCCTTTGGCGGAATTCGCGTACAACAACGCTTGCCATTCAGCAACTGGGCAGTCCCCGTTCTTCTCCAACTATGGGTTTCATCCTGTCTTCCTCCTGGACTTAGTCCCGGAATGCCCGATTCCAGCGACACAGGATGCACTGACCTTCTTCACCTCCAACAATAAAAAAACTACAGGAAGCCATCCGTCAAGCCCAAGAAGACTATAAAAGGGCTTTTAATAGGAAGCGAAGAGGGGACCTGGTGTTGCAGCCCGGAGAGAAGGTTTGGCTGGCTACGTCAAACTTGAAGATGCTCTGCCCGTCAAAAAAGTTGGGACCTAAATTTATAGGCCCTTTTTGCATCAAACGGATGGTCAATGAAGTGGCCTATGAACTTGTTCTCCCTGAGACACTCAAGATCCACCCTGTCTTCCACGTGTCCCTGTTGAAACCAGTAGTCCTGATGCCTTCCCGGAACGGGAATCCAGGCCCCCGGAGGCCGTAACGGTTGAAGAGGAAGAAGAATTTGAGGTGGAGGCAATCTTGAAGTGCCGACGAAGGGGGGGGCCAGACCCAATTTCTCATCAAGTGGAAGGGCTACGGCCCTGAGGACAATTCGTGGGAACCAGCCCATAATGTCCATGCACCTAGACTTGTCGGAGGTTTCTTTGTGATCACCCGTGGTGGAGAGATCGGGTGGGCATCTGGAGGTTGCCCGTAGGGGGGGGGCAATGTCAGGGATCTCCTCGATCCCTGCCGCGATGGTCCCGGCGCAGGCGCACTGCTCCGCCCTGTACACGCGGCGTTCGAGTTTGCGCATGCGCAGTAGAAGCCGCGGCCGCCCGCTGGGCACCAATGGCAGCGCAGGGCGGGATATTTAAAGGTCCTGAGCTGTCATTTCGTTGCCTTCTGGTCTTACCTGCTTCCTGTGATTCTGTACCTGTGCCTAGTAAGTTTATTGACCCGGATTGTTTATTGACCTGCTGATTTCTCCTGCCCAGACCCTTGCTTGCCTGACCTCTCTCCCTGGATGCCCCTCATTAGATCTGACCTCCTGTTGCTGACCTGGCGTGTGACCCGACGATTCTCTGCCTGCTCCCTTGTACCCTACCGTCCTCTACATTACCGCCTCGGCCTGTCTGACTACGCACTTGCTCAGCCATCCATCCATCCATCCCATCGGGGTCACCCGACCTCCTCACATCTGGCTCTCCCTGGTTGGAGCCCCTGGCGAACACCCCTACCACTGACAGGTGTGCTCAGTAGAGGCGACCTGGTCTCGGGGTACTACAAGTCCATCCCCACCATCAGGGGCCCTGGTGAACAAGTACCCTGGGGCTTAGACTCCACGCTCTGGGCACGCCTGACCAGTGGAGTGCTAGTGGTGCCGCTCGGCGGTCCCTCACAACCACCTTATAGACAAAAAATAAATATGTGATTGTCATTCTATAAGAAAGGTCATTTTGGCTGAAACGCGTTAGTATTTCAGACACTGTATATGCTGAAATGTAGCCAATAAACATTTTACAAAGAAGAGTTTACAGAGTTTCTGGCTATCTAATTGTGATCAAAAAATAAATATGGGTGTCAAGAGCTGTGTTTGGGTCTGTGACCTGAACAACTCTGTCACATGATAGTGGAAAATAATGCAGTCGTGTCAAGCTGTGTGTATGATATTAAAGGATATTAGAGCATTGTGACACTAAATCAGGCAAAATAAAGAATGTGCAGTAACAGTAGCCTGCTGGGTAACAAGGCAAACATATTTTCTAATTTTGCAATGCTGCACAATGACAACCACAACATTAGGCAACAAATTTCACTTAACCAATTGCCCTCCAGAGAATTTACCCCCCCCCCTTTCCTGACCAGGCCATTTTTGGCGTTACAGTGCTGCATTAGTTTAACTGACAATTGCGCGGTCATGCAACGCTGCACCCAAAGTTTTCCCAGAAACAGAGCTTTCTTTCGGTGGTGTTTGCTATAAACAAAAAAAAGACCGAAAACTTTGAGAAAAAAGCTATATTTTTACTTTTTGCTATTAAACATGTCCAGTGAAAAAAAATTTAAAAAAATCAAAATTTCGTCATAAATTTAGGGCAAAATGTATTCTGCTACATGTCTTTGCTAAACAAAAATCCCAATACATGTAAAATGATTGTTTTACGTGAAAGTTATAGTGTTTACAAATGGCAGTATATATACTGAAATTTTTTTTTTTTTTTTTTTACAAGTAATGGCGGTGATCAGCAACTTATAGCAGGACTGCGGCAGGCATTCTGACACTGGGGGGAACTAACTTGGTGTCACTGACATCCCCAGTGACACCAATACAGTGATCAGTGCTGATAAAAAGCACTGACACTGTACTAATGGCACTGGGCAGGAAGGGGTTAACATGTGGGGCGATCAAAGGGTTAACTGTTTGGTGTGTGTGTATTACTATAGGGCTGTGTCTGTGCTTTGCACTGCAAGCACACTGCTGTGTATGGCTCTGCTATGCAGAGCCATACCAAGCAGTGTGCTAGAGCTGACAGGGGAGAGAACATACAGTTCTCTCCCCCCCATCAGTATTACTTGGCGATCACCAGATGCTGGTGAGTAATCACCGGCCAGGACCCGGTGATTGACAGCCGAGGCTGCAAATGATGTGCGCCCCCTACCCGGAAATGCAAAATCACATACAGTGGGGATCGAAAGTTTGGGCACCCCAGCTAAACATTTGTATTAATGTGCATAAAGAAGCCAAGGAAAGATGGAAAAATCTCCAAAAGGCATCAAATTACAGATTAGACATTCTTATAATATGTCAACAAAAGTTAGATTTTATTTCCATCATTTACACTTTCAAAATAACAGAAAACAAAAAAATGGCGTCTGCAAAAGTTTGGGCACCCTGCAAAGTTAATATCTTGTACTGCCCCCTTTGGCAAGTATCACAGCTTGTAAACGCTTTTTGTAGCCAGCCAAGAGTCTTTTCAATTCTTGTTTGAGGTATCTTTGCCCATTCTTCCTTACAAAAGTCTTCCAGTTCTTTGAGATTTCTGGGCTGTCTGTCACGCACTGCTCTTTTAAGGTCTATCCATAGATTTTCAATTATGTTGAGGTCAGGAGATTGTGAAGGCCATGGCAAAACCTTCAGTTTACGCCTCTTGATGTAATCCCCATGGATTTCGAGGTGTGTTTAGGATCATTATCCATTTGTAGAAGCCATCCTCTCTTTAACTTCAGCTTTTTCACAGATGGCATCAAGTTACCATCCAAAATTTGCTGAAATTTTTTTGAATCCATTTTTCCTTCTACTCGTGAGATGCTCCCTGTGCCACTGGCTGCAACACAACCCCAAAGCATGATTGATCCAACCCCATGCTTAACAGTTGGACAGAGGTTCTTTTCATTAAATTCTGTGCCCCTTCTTCTCCAAACGTACCTTTGCTCATTCCGGCCAAAAAGTTCAATTTTAACCTCATCGGTCCACAGAACTTGTTTCCAAAATGCATCAGGCTTGTCTATATGTTCATTTGCAAAGTTCAAACAATGATTTTTGTGGTGAGGATGTAGAAGAGGTTTTCTTCTGATGACTTTTCCATGAAGACCATATTTGTACAAGTATCTCTTTATAGTGGAATAGTGTACCACAACTCCAGTGTCTGCCAGATCTTTCTGGAGGGATCGTGCAGTCAACGTGGGTTTTGAATTGTTTTTCTCACAATCCTGCGAGCTGTCTGTCTGATATTTTTCTTGGTCTTCCAGATCTTGCTTTAACTTCCACTGTTCCTGATGACTGCCATTTCTTAATTACATTCCGAACAGAGGATATTGACATCTGAAAACGCTTTGCTATCTTCTTATAGCCTTCTCCAGCTTTGTGAGCGTCAACTATTTTCAGTTTCAGTTTTCTAGACAACTGCTTAGAAGAACCCATGGTGCTGATTGTTGGGGCAAGGTCAGATGAGTCTGGGCATTTAAAACCTTTGAGACTGACATCACCTGGTCTTCCCAGACGATGATTGAGAACAATCCATGACACTGGCAGGTCTCAGCTTTGCAAAGGGGGCAGTGCATGCTATAAATTCTGCAGGGTGCCCAAACTTTTGCAGACGCCATGCCATTTTTTGTTTTTTGTTATTTTGAAAGTGTAAATGATGGAAATAAAATCTAACTTTTGTTGACATATTATAAGAATGTATAATCTGTAATTTGATGCCTTTTGGAGATTTTTCCATCTTTCCTTGGCTTCTTTATACACATTAATACAAATTTTTAGCTGGGGTGCCCAAACTTTCAATCCCCACTGTATATATATTTATATATATATATATATATATAATAATTTTGCGCACCCCTGCCGCCCTGTAGCAGTATTTCTGGTAAAGCGGTTAAAGTGTATATAAAGGCAAAACACCTGTAGAACATATCTGCAATCAAGCTGCTTGTTTTATCCCTTTAAAGACCCTGAGAGTACATAACTATACTGTGCCAGAAATGTTTGTACAGTTTTTTTTTGTGGACGTAGTGGTGTCAGCCCTGCCTTGTTTCTTTTTCTAATCTCAACCACTCCCACTGCCTTCATCTGAAAGGCATGGACACTGACATATAGGGCAGCACAGTGGCTAAAAGGTTAGCACTTCCGCCTGGCAGTACTTGCGTTGTTGGTTTGAATCCCAACCACGGCACCACCTGCCTGGAGTTTGTATGTTCTCCCTGTGCCTGCGTGGGTTACCTCCGGGTACTCTGGTTTCCTCCCACACTCCAAAGACATGCTGGTAGGTTAATTGGCTCCTGTCTAAATTGGCCCTAGTATATGAATGTGAGTTAGGAACCTTAGATTGTACACCCCTTGAGGGTTAGGGACTGATGTGAATGTACAACATATATGTAAAGCGCTGCATAAATTGATGCGCTATATAAGTACCTGAAATAAATAAATAAATATAGTCCTTAGAAAAGAACTAAGAGGGCTATATAGCTTCTTTGAGATAACACAGGCGAGAGAACAAGAAACATGACTGCTCTGAATTTCTGACAGGATTAACAGTTCTTTCTTTGCAATTATCAAACAGATATACCAGCTTCCAATGGTACATTTAACAGACCAAAAGGGAGCAAATAAGAGAAGTTCATTGTTAGGGTTAACATTTGCTTTAGCACACTTTCACAAGTAAAACAGGGAGGTTGGATAGCCCAGAAAGTTGTCTGGCCTCAGGTCCTTGCTGCCTCCTGACAACTCCCGAAAGCAAATTCGTTGAAATATAAAATAACCCCCCCCCCCATGTGTCATAGAGTAAAGAATTTAGTAAATCATCTGTAAAATCCTCTGGCTGTAATTCGCGGCCTCCATGGAAATGTTTATTGTCCCATCATCATCAACAAAGAATGTGACTTTACCTTTACGTTCTGCTTTGGTCTTCTCATTATTGGTTTGTTATCTTGATCGTAAGTTGTCTCTATATAATTATCACCTAGGAGATCGCTGAGGGATGTAAAGTGTGGAAATTAAAAGGTTTGCAGCATTTCAGACTCCCCCATCATTCTTCCATCCAACTACTCCAATGTGTTACTTACTAATTCCTCTCCAGGTATAAGATCAGAGGGTTTTCTTCAATATCTAATTCATATTTAACCATCTGCGGGTATTTGTCCTGGGGAGAGCATAGGAGAAGTGCAGTCAGTGTCCTTCTAACAGTGAGGAATTCATTATATAATGCGCCACAGGCTTTTATCAATTCATGGGCCCTCACAAGTTTAAAGTGCTTCTAAAGCCTCTTTTTTATATTAAAATAAAAAAGATGCTATATTTACCTACACTGTGCAATGGTATTGTACAGAGCAGTTCTTTACCTCCTCTTCTGAAGTCTAATGCTGGCGCTCTTCCAAGTGCCCACTCAGAAAGCTGGCAGCCCAGAAAGCACCCATGCGGGTGAACTCCTGAGCTGGGCTGTGTGCGTCCATAGACACACACAGTGTGAGTTGCCCTCAACCCCCCCCCCAACTCCTTCCTTACAGGATTTCACTGACAGCAGCAGGAGCCATAGGCTGCATATTCCTCCTGTGAGACTAGGAAAAGAGGAGAGAACAGTGCTGTGGGAAGGACAGCACTGGATCGAGAGAGGACTCAGGTAAGAGTTAATGCAGGGAATGCATTAAGGAAAAAAAAGATAAGACTTTAGAACCACTTTAATTGGATCATGTGCAGGGGCAAGCAGGGCTGTGGATAAGGGGGTACCACCAGTCCTCCTGTAAGGGGCCCAGGACAGCAGAGGGGCCCAGGCAGCTGGGTGAATTTGATGTGGGCAAGGAGAGTGATCAGAACAGTGGAGGGGGGGGGGGGCAATTACTGGAGCTGATCGCCTGTATGGCTCTCCCTGCAGCTGCTGAAAGCTGGCTTCTTCCCTCTCCCTCCCACTGGCTTTCAGCTGCTGCAGAGAGAGCCATACAGGGGAAACGGTTACAGTAATTGTCCCACCCTGGTGCACCCATCACCCTCCCTGTACATCATACAGTTCCCCCTGCTGCCTCTACCCCTGTGATGTTGCTGGCTTCCGTCTTCTCATTCCCATCGGCAGCTGCAAGCATACAATAGGATCCTTCAGGATGAAGAGTGGGGAAGAGTCTGGTAAATATGTCTCATTTACCAGCCTCTTCCTTTCCTGAATGAACACAATGAGTAATTGGTACCAATGAATCACTGTGTTTATTCATAATTAAAGCATAGTAAACTGGGTTTTTTTTAGGGGGGGGGTGGGGGGGCTTGTCAGGTTGGCTGTATGGGGCCCCATGGATTGGGGGGCCCTGTCAGGTTGGCTCTATGGGGCCCCATGGTTTCTAACAGCAGCCCTGGGGTCAAGTGTACACCAGCATTTGTGTTTTTCTTCTGACATGAGTTTGTGAAAAAAAATTCTGTGAGATTTGGAACATGGTTTTTGCATTAAATCTTATACAGTAGTAACCTCTTAATTTGCAAAAGGTTACAGTGACAGATAATATGGAAAGAATGCTTCCAGGTACACCGAGTCTTATGTATTATACATGAACATTTTATCATCTTAAAGGAAACTTTTTTGAGAACAATGCAAAAGCTGTCATTGCCAATCACCTTCAAAAAATGAGGCATGCAAAGTTGAAATTGATTGTATCTCCATTGGTCACTCTAGAGCAGCCTTTCTCAACCAGGGTTCCTCCAGAGGCTGTTAGGGGTTCCTCCAGCATCGAGCAGCTTCTGCCTCTCAGGAGGGTAACCACTGACACCAATCATCTTTTGGGGGTTCTTTCCAATGACCACCAATGTAAGGAGCATTCATCCCGATGACCATCACACTAGTGTACAATGAACTCTAGATATTGTAATTATTAGCAGGGATTCCCTAAACCTTGCAAGTTATTCCAAGGGTTCATAAGTGTTAAAAAGAAAGGTTGAGAAAGGCTGCTCTAGAGTCTGGGACCTTAGGCAGCCAATGACTCTGTCTCTCCTATTATATCCCCTTTTCCCCTACCCTGGTGTACCTTTATTAGTTTGGAATGCCTGGTGGGGGGAAAGGAAGGATTGGTGAGCATGTGACC